AGTCGAGTATTTCGGCCACGTGATTAGCAGTGAATGGGGTGAGTATCAATTTATCCAAGGTTGAGGCGATGGTGAACTGGGCAGCCCACGTCTGTCAAAGAACTGAGGGCAGCATCAAGACTTGAAGGGTTTTCTGCTTTTTCTTTCTTTTTTAGGCTATAGCTGCCATTCAACTGGAGCCGGAGAACCCTACAAATCGTGATGCAATGCTTTTAGTCTTGTTGGAGGCAGAGCTAGGATCGGAGAGCACACAATTGGGAAACCAACTTCAAGGTTTCATAAACACATACTAGTTGTTTTTGTTAGTCAAGTCATTTAGGTTTTTGAAACTAGATATTTAATGTACCTGCTAGTGCTGCAAAATAAGGCAGTAATTTGTGTTATACTCCAGTTTAATTCGGTCAAAATAATTTTGAGGTATTTGGTTGTTGTTCAAGAGTGATCGAATTCTGTGCATCTGAGCACCAACGATGTTAATTTGTCCTATATTCCTAGTGTATGATTTGTGTATATTGTTCACGTCCCTTAAATTGCATATTAGATGTTAAAACCTTGTTTTCCTTAAACTGATACACATTAAGCAAGCTTCAGGGTGAAGTTTTATCAATCTGGCTTTCAAATGGTCATGTATATAGAATCATCTGTTAGAAACCATTATGCCAAGTAAAACACTATCTAATGTTAATCATATACTCTTGTAAATATCGCATCAGCATCTTCATGATTCTCTTTGGACAAAGAATTTTATCAGTTTTCCCTGTTTTCTCCTCCCAACATCAAGTTATGAGAAGATAAAGTAGTAGAGCTATTGGGTTTTCTGAAACTTCTATACACTCATCGTGGGAATAATACATGCAACATTGTTTATTTGTTCGAGTAAAAATCCTTTCATGCCTAGACATGCTAAAATTGCAACTGCAGAATCATTACCTCTAGCTTTGCCTTGTGCATGAATGTGTGCATGAGCAAGAATGTTTCGGATCTTGCTGTTATAGTAGTATTAATATATGGCATCATGCAGAACTTGCTTCCATTTCTTGGACCTCTTCTAAGGAAATCCAGTGAAGCGTATCAGAACTTTTCCGTTATAAAAAGCTTGTGGGAAAGTGAAAATCTACAGGNGGATCTTGCTGTTATAGTATGTAGTATTAACACATGGCATCATGCAGAACTTGCTTCCATTTCTTGGATCTCTTCTTAGGAAATCCAGTGAAGCGTATCAGAACTTTTCCGTTATAAAAAGCGTGAGGGAAAGTGAAAATCTACAGGTATATTTCATTTGGGTTGTCTGGCTTCATTTTTACCTATTTCTTCTTCCTTTGGCCCCCCAGCCAGGGTTTAGGTGGTTAAAGGGCGGTTAGCTAGTTCTATCAATGTAGAGTACATTGATTTTCTTTACTGGTTTGAGAATCATCTTTTTCTTTTCTGTTTTTCTGTTTCATGGCAACAGCCAGTTGTTATATTTGCTATTTAATTGTTTTAGAGTTTATGTTAGAGAATTTCAGGGAATTTGTAATTAATCCTGGAGTATTTAATTTCTATTAGTAGATTATTTAGTAAAGTTGTAGTTAAGTATTTGTTGTCTTCATTACAAAGTTGTGTGTACACAACGGGTTAAAGATGAACTTTATAACTAAAGAAAAGCGGTCCTGAAGATCACAAGTGATAGCATGTGCGCTTCTTTGCAAGAAGAAGATTGGGACCAGTAATGAAATGTTGGCTATTCTTTGAAGTTATTTGCTGTAATGGTGTAAACTTGCTGTCTGTTTTGTTTTGAACATAAATGGATGTTAGTTTCGATATGTTTAAGATTTAAAACCTGCTATGGATTTACATGTTAAGGACAACTGGTCTCTATAGCAATTTCGTAACTAGAATTGTAGCTGATTTCACATGTTTGTTTAGATCTTAGCATGTATATCTCATTGTCAAATACCAGCTGCTTATATTAGAGTATTAACTACTGAAATTTGAGCTTGCTTTCATGATTTCTGATAAATTAAAGTCTAGTGCTTGATTTGAAGGTCAATAATTGTGGATCTGGCCACATGTTGGTTCGATTTGCAGTTTAAGGCTTGAGCGCAGTTGCATCTCTGTTGGATCTTTGTTGCTTGGGTTTGTTATCCATTAAGTATCAGTTATAGTCGTGATCATAGTGAGGTACTTTGCAGTCTATTCTAATGGGGAGAGAATTGTGCACTTTGTTTGCTTCAGAGACTCAAATATATAAATGCAGTTGGAAGAGGTTCCCAGTTGAGGAAAAGATGATAATGAGAACTTGGATTTGGAAGAATTTAGTTTTCTTGGTTGCTTTATATGGGGCATTGATCCATTTATTCCTGAAAGGAGGACACTTCTGCTGATCTACTTTCCGTGTTTCTGGAAGCGTTCTGGTGGTACAATTGTGCAAGCAAAGAATGATGCTTTTCAAAAAGGAATGTGTAATGCACATTTATGTTGTACATTATGTCAATGTGGAAGTTAATATAATCGATTTGAAGCTGTGTAATGTCTGTATTAAAAAGGATTGAAGCTTGTTGTTGGAGATGGTTTATAACTTATTTATGCAGAGTGTCTGTCTGCAATGCTTTATATGCAGACAGTTTTCTTTGTTGATCGTAGTTCCATGTAAAAGCAAAGAGCGTCTTCCTTCTTTTTTGGGCAAACCTCACTATTAAGCATGACAATAACATCAAGCATTGGTTGACGACCGTGGCTCTTGTGAGTTTGCATCAACATTGAATTGTATGTTAGGCAGCACATGAGGGAAGTCAAAGACAGTAACCTTAGCACCACGAATTGCAGCAGCAGCTATCCCAATATCACCTGTTCAAGAATACGAAGGGGTGGATCCCCTTTTTCTTGACCTTTGAATAAGTCGGAAAGGGGAGTTGATGTAACATTGGTGTTGTCAAGATGGGTGACCAATACTGGTGTTGGCAGGCGGACCTTGAGTCGGTGTTGCTTGCAGAGGCAGATTCACGAATTTAATGGGTTCAAACTTAAACTGAACTCATCATACTGGTAAAACTATGTGTTCAGGTCTAACATTTTGTTAAGATTTTAATAGGTTTTGTGGTTCATATGAATCCATAAACTCTAGGCTACATCTGCCTCAGGTTGCTTGATGACTATGTTCTAGGTATACAGAAATCAGATCATGTTCCTACTTATCGTGCGGCAGATTTAGTCTTCATTAGGAATTAGAATTTTAAGGTTGGTACTTGGTAACTAGGCTTCTGTCACAGGGCTGATTTGTGTCACTCGAACTTAGCCCGAGGTTCACCTTTGTGCGGCAGTCAAGCCCGGCCTTGACTTCAGCCTTTCCAACACTTGGTTTTATTTTTAGGGACGTTTGCACTTAGAATGAAAATAGGCAGCAAAAACAGTAGATAAAGGCACACACGATATACAGGAATTTCTTCCCAACTTGTATTAATATGTAAATACAAGAACACAATAGCCAACCCTGTGGCCAAGACAAAGAATTCCCTGCCCCAAAATGGTTTTCCCACCCTTAGGAAATGACTTAGACGTATTTGGCTTCAGAATGCCTTAGACTAAGTTTTCTGCCCCGTTTTAGCCAGCCTAGGCAAGTAATTATAAGGCTACAATCAGTTGACAAGCCCCAACAGATGGGCAACAAGTTAAGACAAAGTACAAAAACATGGGCACACTTTTAGGCCATGATCAGCATGTCTTGGAAGATGTTGCAACTGCCAACTGCTTCCCATGTGCTTGGCACATGTTTTCCAACTGCTGCTTGTGCACAGCATGTGTCTGATTTTCGCCTAGCTGCTTTGTGTCAAGGCTGGCATTGTGCCCAACCTTGCCTTTGACACTGCTCCGTACCAATGTCATTGCCACAGCTTGCCGCCCACTGACTTAGCTGCACACGTTTATTGTCAAAGCTGCCCGTCCATGTCAAGTCGCCGCCGACTTGATCAAATCTGTCCGTAACATTTGCCATTGCTTGTCTCGCCTTGCCTTGCCATGTCTTTTCCCCTGTTTGACATGGCTTTACCTTGTCATTGTTTTGCCAACCCGCACATCTAAGTAAAATGCGCCTTGCTTCCGTTCAAGGTGCGTTTGTCGAACCCTGCATTGTCCGTCATGCCGAGCAGCCCTTCATGATGTTGCCCCATTTTTCAGGTTGTATGCCAAGGCCATCATGAAAATCCTTGTCACAACCCACACCTGACGAGGACCTTTGTCAAGGGGCTAACAAACCACCCCCACCAGAAGAATTCGTCGTCCTCGACGAAGCAGCTTCCGCATTTTTCAGCACCACCATAGGCCCTAAATATGTTGTTGCTTGCCCATGTTCTTCCTCGTTTGTCTCATCTTCACTCTTTTCTTCAGCAAACAACTGAAAGCCGTTCAATTCTTGGACAATCCCTCGCCATATGTGGCCCTTTGCAAATAAAACAGCCATCAAACTTGTTGTTTTGTCCCTTGTTTGTCGAAGGTCCAGCACATTGCTTTCCCTTCTCATTGCCATTGCCCTCAACAGCATTACCCTTGTCATTTTCGTTTTTCCTCCACTCTTTTACCTTGTCCTTGTTCCCATTTTTGGATTTTGAAGTAGTAGAAAAATCAGAACCATCTTGTCCCAACCGGAAATCACCCAACACATCCGCAGCAGCAATGGCACTAGGAAAGTCTTTCACATTTTGCCTTCGGAGTTCCATTTGCGCCCACGACTGCAACCCGTAAAGGAAATTATGCAGCTTGTCTTCTTCAGACATGTTGCTAATATCCAACATCAAAGAACTAAAATCCTTGACGTAATCCCTAACTGTTCCAGTTTGTTTCAACTTCTTCAAACGATATCTAGCAATCCAGCCCGCATTGCTAGGAAAGAATTGATCCTTCAACTCTTTCTTCAGCCCTTCCCAAGAGTCAATTTTTGGCCTACCAGCACTTACATCATCTGCCACGCGCGTACGCCACCACGTACATAGTCATAATGGGGACTTTGTCTTCATCTTGCACTTTGGCAGCATGGAAGTACTGTTCCATATACCACAGGAAGTTTTCGAGTTTCTTGGCACTCCTTGCGCCATTGAACTCTTTAGGCTCCGGAATTTTGACCTTGGTACGATCTACCCCATGCTGTGTTTCATCATTGCCAACAGCACGACGCAGCAACCCATTTTTCGTTTTCAGATCTGTGCACTCCTGGCTCAGCCTATTCATCTCGGCCTCAAGATAGGCGAGACGTGTCAAGATAGTCAGAAATTGATCCCCATCAATAGTTCCAATGAGTGCCTCTAATGCAGTAACCTTTTCCCTCAGTTCTGCGTTGCCACCAGCCATTCTTCAAAAAATTCAACCACTGAACGTTGTGTCTTCACCCCGATCCAATCTGACTCTGATACCAATTGTCACATGGGTGATTTGTGTCACTCGAACTTAGCCCGAGGTTCACCTCTGTGCGGCAGTCAAGCCCAGCCTTGACTTCAGCCTTTCCAACACTTAGTTTTATTTTTAGGGACGTTTGCACTTAGAATGAAAATAGGCAGCAAAAACAGTAGATAAAGGCATACACGATATACAGGAATTTCTTTCCAACTTGTATTAATATGTAAATACAAGAACACAATAGCCAACCCTGTGGCCAAGACAAAGAATTCCTTGCCCAAAAATGGTTTTCCCACCCTTAGGAAATGACTTAGACGTATTTGGCTTCAGAATGCCTTAGACTAAGTTTTCTGCCCCGTTTTAGCCAGCCTAGGCAAGTATTTATAAGGCTACAATCAGTTGACAAGCCCCAACTGATGGGCAACAAGTTAAGACAAAGTACAAAAACATGGGCACACTTTTAGGCCATGATCAGCATGTCTTGGAAGAGGTTGCAATTGCCAACTGCTTCCCATGTGCTTGGCACATGTTTTCCAACTGTTGCTTGTGCACGGCATGTGTCTGATTTTCGCCTAGCTGCTTTGTGCCAAGGCTGGCATTGTGCCCAACCTTGCCTTTGACACTGCTCCGTACCAATGTTATTGCCACACCTCGCCGCCCACTGACTTAGCTGCACACGTTTATTGTCAAAGCTGCCCGCCCATGTCAAGTTGCCGCCGACTTGATCAAATCTGTCCGTAACATTTGCCATTGCTTGTATCACCTTGCCTTTCCATGTCTTTGCCCCTTTTTGACATGGCTTTACCTTGTCATTGTTTTGCCAACCCGCACATCTAAGTAAAATGCGCCTTGCTTCCGTTCAAGGTGCGTTTGTCGAACCCCGCATTGTCCGTCATGCCGAGCAGCCCTTCATGATGTTGCCCCATTTTTCAGGTTGTGTGCTAAGGCCATCATGAAAATCCTTGTCACAACCCACACCTGATGAGGACCTTTGTCAAGGGGCTAACAAACCACCCCCACCAGAAGAATTCGTCGTCCTCGACGAAGCAGCTTCCGCATTTTTCAGCACCACCATAGGCCCTAAATATGTTGTTGCTTGCCCATGTTCTTCCTCGTTTGGCTCATCTTCACTCTTTTCTTCAGCAAACAACTGAAAGCCGTTCAATTCTTGGATAATCCCTCGCCATATGTGGCCCTTTGCAAATAAAACAGCCATCAAACTTGCTGTTTTGTCCCTTGTTTGTCGAAGGTCCAGCATATTAGTTTCCCTTCTCATTGCCATTGCCCTCAACAACATTACCCTTGTCATTTTCGTTTTTCCTCCACTCTTTTACCTTGTCCTTGTTCCCATTTTTGGACTTTGAAGTAGTAAAGAAATCAGAACCATCTTGTCCCAACCGGAAATCACCCAACGCATCCGCAGCAGCAATGGCACTAGGAAGGTCTTTCACATTTTGCCTTCGGAGTTCCATTTGTGCCCACGACTGCAACCCGTAAAGGAAATTATGTAGCTTGTCTTCCTCAGACATGTTGCTAATATCCAACATCAAAGAACTAAAATCCTTGACGTAATCCCTGACTGTTCCAGTTTGTTTCAACTTCTTCAAACGATCTCTAGCAATCCATCCCGCATTGCTAGGAAAGAATTGATCCTTCAACTCTTTCTTCAGCCCTTCCCAAGAGTTAATTTTCGGCCTACCAGCACTTACATCATCTGCCACGCGCGTACGCCACCACGTACATAGTCGTAATGGGGACTTTGTCTTCATCTTGCACTTTGGCAGCATGGAAGTACTGTTCCATATACCACAGGAAGTTTTCGAGTTTCTTGGCACTCCTTGCGCCATTGAACTCTTTAGGCTCCGGAATTATGACCTTGGTACGATCTACCCCACGTTGTGTTTCATCATTGCCAACAACACGACGCAGCAACCCATTTTCCGTTTTCAGATCTGTGCACTCCTGGCTCAGCCTATTCATCTCAGCCTCAAGATAGGCGAGACGTGTCAAGATAGTCAGAAATTGATCCCCATCAATAGTTCCGATGAGTGCCTCTAATGAAGTAACCTTTTCCCTCAGTTCTGCGTTGCCACCAGCCATTCTTCAAAAAATTCAACCACTGAACATTGTGT